CCAATCATATTGCCATTTTTGTTTTGTTTTTTTCCTGCTTGCCTGTCTTTGAAGTTGTATCTTCTGTTGCTCTAGCTGTTCCAGGCTAGTCTGCTTGCCCTATCTAGTGGGAAATTCCCATCTCAGAAGGTTCTAGATGGGTCTCAGGATTCCACCTAATGTCCTATACACTGCAAAGGCTCCACAAATAGCCTATTTCACTGGGCAAGTGCTAGAACCCCTTTTAGGTATTCTAATCAGTTACAGGCTGAAAGCGGGCTTACTAGCTTTCTGTAATCGTGTTTCCTGGCATTCATTCTATCCCACTCAAGTGTCTGTTTTATAATAGTAAGCAAGGGAAACCAATATTCGTAAGACAGTCAAGCACCTTAGTATTATTTCCTCTTTTCAGATTATGCCTCAATCCCTGTATCAACGAGCCTTGTTGTTCCAAGGTTGAGCATGCATCACTATTTACCTTGTCCCATTTAGCACTTATCTTTCATTGTACCAGTACCAGACTGTTTTGACCACTGTATCCCTGTAGTAAATTTTTAAATCAAGGAGTGAGAGGCTTCCAACTTTTTTCTTCTTCTTAAGCAATGCTTTGCCTATCTTGGGTCTCTTTCCTTTCCATTTAGAGGTTATAATTGTTTTTCCCCTTTTTCTAAAGAATGTCATTGGAATCTGGATTGGGATTGCATTATATGTGTAGATTGCTTTGGGCAGTATTGACATTTTCACAATGCTGTCTTCTTATCCAGGAACATGGTATATTCTTCCATTTTGGTAGGTCTCTTTTGGTTTCTTGCAGTAGTGTTTTGTAGTTTTCTTTGTATAAGTCCGTTGTTTCTCTGGTTACATTTATTCCTAGATATTTCATCCTTTGGCTATTGTAAATGATACTGCTTTCCTAATGTCCTTTTCAACACTGTCATTATTAGTATCGAGGAATCCAATTGGTTTTTGTATGTTGATCTTATATCTTGCCACTTTGCTAAATCTTCCACCGAGTTCCAGCAGGTTTTGTGTTTTTTTTTTCTTTTTGCTGAGTCTTTGGGGTTTTCTTTGTATAAGATCATATCATCTGCAAATAGAGAGAGTTTTACTTCCTGTTTGTCAATTTGGATGCCTTTGATTTCCCTATCTTGCCTTATAGCTCTGTCTAAGATTTCCAAAACAATATTTAATAAGAGTGGTGACAAAGGGCATCCTTGTCTGCTTCCTGTTCTCAAGGGGAAGGCTTTCAGTTTCTCTCCATTGAGAGTAATGTAGGCTGTTGGTTTTGTATATATGCTCTTAATTATGATGAGGAATTTCCCTTCAATTCCTACTTTGTTGAGTGTTTTTATCAGGAATGGATGTTGGATTTTGTCAAAATGTCTTTTCTGCATCAATCAATATGATCATGTGGTTCTTTTCCTTTTTCTTATTTATATGGTGGATTACACTGATGGTTTTTCTAATGTTGAATCATCCTTGCATCCCTGGTATGAATCCCATTTGGTCTTGATGTATTATTTTTTTGATGTGTTGCTGGAATCTGTTGGCTAGAATTTTGTTGAGAATTTTTGCATCTAAATTCATGAGGGATATTGGTCTATAATTTTCTTTCTTAGTGACGTCCTTCCCTGGTTTTGGTATGAGGGTTATGATTGCTTCATAGAATATATTAGAAAGTTTTTCATCCTCTTCTATATTCTGCAATAATTTGAGCAGAATTGGTGACAGCTCTTCCCTAAATGTTTGGTAAAACTCAACAGTCGAGCCTTCTGGACCTGGGGTGTAGATAGATTCTTAATGTAGTTTTTTGTTTATTTTATTTATAAACCATCCCTTTAAAAAATCATTAGACTTTTTTGTCTTTCTCTACTTACATATGAAAAGATAACTTATTCCTCACACCATCTGTAGTCTATAAGAAGTTTGTGGTCGAACTGGAAACCATCTGTTAGCTAGGAGCCAGTCTGTGTTCCTAGTTTCTCCACCGTCTGCAAACCCCCAGACATATTCTATAAAAGAGTAGGAAAGAAACTGTTTTCATTTCACTATTTGTCGTGTTGTTAAATTTGGTGAAGTCGGCTCTGATTCGTAGTGACCCTAGAGACGGTTTCCGAGAAGCTGCTGGTGGCTTTGAACCACCGTCTTTATGGTTCACAGTCCAGTGCTGATCCTCAGCACCACACCAGGACTCTTTAGCAATCAGTTTTTGGGTGTTTCTTCTTCTTGCTAGATAACAAGTGAGATGACTCATCTCACATTCGTTGAAAAGTCTAGTGAGGAGTTTTGCTGACAAACCCTAATACGCCAGGATTGTTTTCTGTTTAGATCTTTATAGAGGTCATTATTACTGTATCCCTAATATCCTGTTGGATATGGCAGCATCAGTAGGTTCAGGCGTGGCAACAACTGTGAGATTGGCCCAGGACCAGGCAGTATTTCGTTCTGTTGTGCATCGATTTGCTATGAGTCGGTACCAACTTGATGGCACCTAACAACAACAACAACATCCTGCCGGCAGAGGATCGCTTCAGTTTAGATAATGGTAACAACAATTAGCATTGATTGTTGTTGTTGTGGTTAAGTGCCATCAAGCCAGTTATGATTCATAGCCACCCTGTCTAGGGTTTCCATGGAGCGGCTGGTGGCTTTGAACTGTCAACCTTGTCGTTCAAACCGACCCTGCATTCCAGTGCATTATCCTGCTGCACTCATCAGGACTCTTAGCATTTATTAGACCCCTCATAATTAAAGATGTTTTCTTAAATTCAGTTTGATTTAAAATATTTCCTCAATCCCAAAAATGATAGTGAAAGATAATGGAATTTTTCATGAGCTTTTAACCCATCGTATATGTGAAGCTGTTGTTCTTAAGTGCCTCTGAGTCAGACTTGACACACAACGGTCCTGCACAGTCAATTCTGACTCACGGCGGTCCTAAACGGTCAGTCCTGACTCACGGCGGTCCTAGGCGGTCCTAGACGGTCAGTCCTGACTCACGGAGGTCCTAGACGGTCAGTCCTGACTCACGGCGGTCCTAGACGGTCAGTCCTGACTCACGGCGGTCCTAGACGGTCAGTCCTGACTCACGGCGGTCCTAGACGGTCAGACCTGACTCACGGCGGTCCTAGACGGTCAGACCTGACTCACGGCGGACCTGCATGGTCAGTCCTGACTCACGGCAGCCCTGTATAGGGTGTTTGAGGATCAGGTGGTGGGTTGCATTGCCAACCAGTGTTGCTAGTTCCTGTTTAATTTTTTGCTTTACTGTTAGACATTTTAGAATGGGGTCCAAGGCTTTTGTTTTATACATGAAGAGTATGCTATAGATTGATGGGCGTGTTATGTATATTCTGCCCCAAAAACCCTATTTTAAAAAAATACATAAAACTTGAAGGCCTACTGTGCTGTACATTGTGACTCGGAGCAACCCCGCAGGACAGAGTGTAACTGCCCCCCCCCCCCCCCCCGAGGCTTCCCACACTGTAGTCTTTACAGACGCGGGCTGCTAGGTCTTGGGTTCAAGCCACCAACCTCTCAGTCAACAGTCCTCGCTTTCGCCACTGCGTCACCAGGGTTCCTTTACAACATCAACAACCGTAAAAAAAAACCCGTATAGTTGTTGTTTAGTGCTGTCGAGTAGATTCCTACTCAAGTGACCCTGTGTAGGGTTTCCAAGGAGCAGCTCGTGAATTTGAACTGCCGACCTTGCAGTTCAGACTGACCTTGTTGAGTGTTTATCCTCCACCCATACAGACGTAGGTAGAACCTGCTCACTGGAGCATTTGCTTTCCCATTAAACTAAAAGGAATTGAAAGAACAAACGGGAACTTTGACTGTGTGTTGGCCAAGTCATTGGGAGCAGAGTTCATCATTAACGCCAATTCCCCCTCCCCGCTGACTTCCTCTGGCAGGAGTGTGGTGGTGCCCGTCAAGAAGCCGCCCCCAGGGAGCCTGGCTGTGACCACGGTGGGAGCCGCCCCGGCTGGAAGTGGGCTGCCCACAGGCAGCACTGCTAACATGTTCGCTGCCACAGGAGCTACACCAAAAAGTATGATTAATACAACAGGTATCGTCCTTCGATCTCTTTGTGACGGCTCATCTCCCTCTTTCTGTTTCTTAGATCTTCATTTTGTTATTTGATCTGAAAAGGTAACCATTCCCCATCATTGAAGGTTACCTGAAACTTTAAGAGGCTCACACTCTTGGTTGCGATTTTCCAGAATTTGCCCACCCTCCATGGTCATTTTAGAAGACTCAGTTGGGTTTGGTGAAGTGCTCTTTCCTTTAAGAGTGAAATCTGGGGAGTGGGACGGATTTGGGGAACAAAAGTCAAAGATTGTTTAAACACTTTGATGTAGTTTGATATGTAAAACTCAGTAAACGACTTTATCCAGTGCAGGAAGAAATACTAAAAATGTTAGTGACAGATAAAGGGTGGGGTGAAATGTACTGGCTGAATCTTAAAGTGAGAGGGGCTTCAAAAAGGACGTGGACAAATTCTCTTGTTTTTGAATGCCAGTTTTCCTGGAACTTTTAGAAGCCCCCAGCCAGGGGAAGGGAAGCCAGCTCCGCTGAGGTCCTAGACTTGAGTACAGGTGCCCTGATGCGTTCCTCTCACTGTCCAGCCTTTCCTGATGACAGTAGGGACAGAAAGTGCCAAATCACAACCAATTTTAAAAGTCTGCCTGAGATAACTTGTTTTGTTTTTCTTTTAATTTCCAGAAATGTTCCTATTGTTGACTAGCTAAATAAATCCTTACCCCAATCTTTGTGATTCCATTTTAGGTTTTTACACAACGCGAGATGGTCCCTGATCTTTCTTCCCTGACTATTGTAACCTCCTCTGCTCCCACCTCTACAGCCTCCAACTGTTCCATCTGTTCCCATTGCTTCTCTTTTCCCATCTGTATCCATTGTAGCTGCCTTGTTTACCACCTGAGCCTGACAGGTCATGAACAACACATTTATGGGGTTGTAGTAAGTAGAACCACATACTTAGCAGACAACTGTCATCAGTAGGATTGTGCTTAAAACAAACAAACAAACAGAAAATGCTGCTTTGGATTGACCTGTACTATAAAGGATTCATTCCGACTTGTCTGAAGACTTTGTATGAAGTCTGTCTTTCCAGGTGACAACTCTACCCTCATACTCACTCACTCAGCTTTTCCGCAAATAGGAGTAGAAATGCTACTCTTTCTTATTGAAACATAAATTCCAAAATTATTAAGATTTTAAAAATAGGCCAATGTAGTAGAAAAAAAACTAAAGAAAAACCCACAACCCTGCATTTGTTGTTGTTTATTGAAGAACTCCTTGTCTTTATAGTGAGATAGATCCACAGGAGAGCTCATCCCCCACTTTGTATCTCTGCTGTGAGACAAGAATGATGTTTTCCTTTCATTGGTGTACTGAGGTCAGTAGGTACACAAAGTGACGTCAGCAAAAGGAGAGTGTTCCTATAATCAATCTGATAATCCAGTGAGATAGCAAATACTAGTAATGAGTGTCCTTAGAAACGCACACAGATGCGGTTTATGAGGGGCTTCACAAAGTCGGTGGGAAAATGGAACGAAAGGATAATAGTATCTTCCCACAGACATTTTGAAGTCCCTCCATGTGTGCACACACACTCCAATGTGGGTCAAATGTGGAGCCGTGGAAATCCTGCTAGGGAGCTCTGTTTGATGGCAGGTAAAATAAGGTGTAATAACACTTCGGAACACTAGAGGCCCCTCAACTCCACAACACGTGAATGCAGTTCCACAGTGTCCTATAGAAAGCCCTTTCCTCCAATGGCATCTCCATGTCGCTGAGGAAGTACGTGCTGTGTGCTTCAGGTACGGTTAGTTGCACGCACATGGACCTGTGTAGGCAGGTACTGTCTACACAGGAGCGATGGGTGCAGCAGCGATGACACAGACAAAAACGTTCATTGCCACCTAGCTGTCAAAAAGAGACGACTTTTCAACATTGGAATTTGCTTTGTGTTGTTAATCTCACTTTATCAGAAGTTGTTTTCATTTGTTGATGTCTTTTATTTATACCCCATTTGTAACACGTAGCTTTGTTAGATGAACGTAAGTAAATTTAACGTAACAGCTGTTGTTTATATTTTTTAAGCATTATTCATATACTTATGGCCACGCGATATTTAATTTTGGAATTATGCTTTGAGATTCAGATGATCCATTCCTTCAGAGTCTGAAAGTGATGATGTAATGACAGCTGCTTGATTCATTAACATTATATCTAAGGCTACACATTATTATTTTGGGAACAGGTGCCGTGGATTCAGGGTCCTCCTCCTCTTCCTCCTCCTCTAGTTTTGTCAACGGTGCCACCAGCAAAAACCTCCCTGCTGTGCAGACCGTGGCTCCAATGCCGGAAGATTCCGCTGAGAACATGAGGTATGCATAGCTGCTCCCCTCCTTCCCTTCTCTCTCTTACCCGGTGAAGCAACAGGCAGTCAGTACACAGGGATGGTTAAGAAGGCTTTTGTGACTGCACTTTCTGTTCATGGTTTCCCTGTGTTTGTCGTTGCTTCATTACAGTCATCAGAGTCTAGACAGAGCTCTTCAGATGCTGTAATCCACGGTCATACTATACATGTTTGTCCCTCCCAAAACAGGTTAAAAATACACACTAATATTAACAGGTCAAACAGGGTGTCTTGGGGGTAAAGGGGTAGTTGGTGAAAGTTTAAAATAGAAGCTCTTTAAAGGTGCCGGCATTGAGTAAGTGATGTGCAGTGTATGGAACTGGAGGTCCAATAGGCAAACAGCATGTACTGCGATGATTTGTCTTAGCATATCAGAGAACATTCTAGAAGTGGTTGGAGTTAAATTACATGTGTGCATGTGTGTACAAGGAAGGATCAAAAGGTTAGAGGAAAAATTCCATTATCTTTTCATTATAATTTCTACCATCTTTTTAAAGCCTCCATATAGTCACAACTTTAAAATTAGAGAAGTTCACACATCACTTGCATCAAAGCCATTGAAAGAAAGAACATCTTCATCACTATCACTCATCAAGCAATAGCCCGAGTTCTATTGTATTCTGTTCTGGGCTGTGTATAGACATATCTATCAG